GGGGGGGGGGGGGGGGCACAGCTCTAGAGAGGCAGAGCCAGCATTCAATCAGCCAGTGGGGTGGATAGCGACAATATTGTCGGGATCCATCGTGGCTATGGTGCGGCTCTCCGCTTTCAGCATATAGCGGGCAACAGCCCGCTATATACTGAGTTTAGGGTCACAGGAGGACATTAGTATATGTCCTCCCGTGACCCTGAAGAGAACTTTGAGCAAAAAAGGTTGCCCCATAGTTCTCTTTTAAAGTGTTCAGCCAGAACTTTTTTCTTAGCTTTTGGATAGAGTGGGTAAGGTTTTGAACCTACGTCAGTTGGTTACTGTTATCCAGGGCTCCATTAAAAGGATTTCCCCTTTCTTGCTTATGTTTTACTGGACAGAAAGTGAGGGTAAATCTCCAACAGCAACACAGACAAAGATAAACCAAATTAATGGGTAGTGTACAGGAAGGCTTTCAAATTTGTATTTCTCTCTGTGCCCCAGTATTACATTTTTTCCTTCATTTCCTGTCTGGCAAAACTCTTGTCATTAGGAGAATAAATCATAATTCTCTCTAATGAATCTCTAGAGAGCAGAACAAACCTGACAAGTGTTATAACCCTTCCCAACTCTTTCCAAAACTAGAAAAAAAGCTTTTGGTTTGACATACACATGACATGACACATGACATGACATGACATATACATGCATAATAATACGGAGTTAATTGAGGATGTTGCAGTCGGGGAGACACTGGGCAATAGTGATCTCAAGGTGATTGCTTTCAATATTGGGTGCAAGAAAGGGAAGGGGGATGGGCGGATGAGAAGCCTAAACATCAGGAAGGCGAACTTTGATAAACTACGCAATATAGTGGGTGAGATCGAATGGGAAAACGTATTTGATAAACTAAACTTTGACCAAAAGTGGGACTGTTTCAAGAACAAATTACAAAATGCTATTACCAGGTGTATACCGCTGGGGAACAAAAGTAAAAGATCAAAAACAAAGCCAATATGGCTAAATAAATCGGTAAAACAACACATTAAGGAAAAAAAATAGCATTTAGTAAGTATAAAATGGAGGGGACAGTATCGGCATTCCAAAACTACAAATAATTTAATAAAAGATGTAAACTGGCAGTCCGGGCGGCTAAAATTGAATGTGAAAAATATATCGCCAAAGTTAGTAAAAAGAACCCCAAAATTTTGTATCAGTACATAAACAGTAAAAAGGGGAGAAAGGAACAGATAGGCCCAATAAAGGACATAAATGGGTCGTTACCCACAAGCGACAGGGAGAGGGCCGAGGTGCTATATACTTTCTTCTCGTCGGTATTCACCAAGGAAACAGACGGGTTCAATGTACATGATAAAACACAGAATTTAACAAGAAATACAACTGAATGGTTGACGGAAACTGGGATACAACATAGGCTTAAACTACTAAATGCAAATAAAGCATTAGGACCTGATAATCTATACCCCAAGGTACTCAAACAACTGAACAAGGAGATACCGAGACCACTGTTCCTCATTTTTAAGGAATCTCTAATGGCTGGTAGAGTGCCAAGCAACTGGAGAAGGGCTAATGTGGTACCTATATTCAAAAAAGGGTCAAAATGCCAACCAGGGAACTATAGACCAGTTAGTCTGACATGCATAGTGTGTAAACTGTTGGAGGGAATTATTAAGGCTACTTAGTGGAATTCGTCCGGGACCATAGTATAATAAGTGATGTGCAACACGGATTTAGGAAGGATCGTTCTTGCCAGACCAACCTGCTGACCTTTTACGAAGAGGTAAGTAGAGATCTGGATGGGAGGAGGCCGGTGGACGTAGTATATCTGGACTTTGCCAAAGCGTTTGATACAGTGCCACATAAACGCTTTTTATACAAGCTAAGTGCTATGGGCATAGATTAATTAGTGTGCACGTGGATAGAAAACTGGCTACAAGAACGTGCACAAAGAGTATCAGTTAATGACACCTTCTCAGACTGGGCGTAGGTCATGAGTGGTGTGCCCCAGGGTTCGGTGCTGGGTCCCATGCTTTTTTACCGATTTCTTAATGATATAGGGGAGGGAGTGAGAAGTCATGTCTCAGTGTTTGCTGATGATACAAAAATTGGGAGGTTAGTAGACACAGATTTAGACATTATAACATTACAGGAGGACCTGGATAGAATCGGGGTATGGCAGATGAAGTTAAATGTCGATAAATGTAAGGTAATGCACCTTGGAGTTAAAAATAGGCAAATGGACTATACACTTATAGGTGTGCCACTAGGGAAGTCGGAAACGGAGAAGGATTTGGGGGTCATTATAGACCGCAGATTGAATAACAGCGCACAGTGCCAGGCTGCTGTAAATACAGCAAGTAGAGTCCTGTCTTGCATTAAGAAGGGAATGTATTGCAGGGACAAGTCTATAATTTTGCCACTATACAGATCACTGGTTCGCCACATCTGGAGTATGCGGTCCAGTTTTGGTCACCGATACTCAGAAAGGATGTCCTTGAGCTGGAAAAAGTCCAGAGGAGGGCAACCAAACTCATTAAGGGGTTCGAGGATCTGAACTATGAAACAAGGTTGTTAAAATTAAATATGTTCTCGTTGGAGGTTAGGAGATTAAGGGGGGACATGATTTTCATGTATAAACTATTCAAGGGTGACAGCAACCTGAGTAACAAACTGTTTATGGTTAGTTCCGTAACAAAGACCAGAGGGCACAACCAAAAATTGGTGGATAACAAATTTCAACATACAGGGCGCAAGGGGTTCTTCACAGTTAGAGCGGTTAGGGTCTGGAACTCGCTGCCACAGGAAGTGATTTCAGCTAAGAGTGTTGAATCATTCAGGAAACTCCTGGACGAGTTCCTTGGAGACCGTAACATAAAGGGGTACAGGTACTGCTAAGAGAAAAATCACACATGGACTCATATACACGGACACACCTGCTCATAAATGCATATACACAATAGGTTGGACTTGATGGACTTATAACTTTATTCAACCTCAAATACTATGTAACTATGTAACTATGTAGCTTTAAGGGGATGTTGTTCATTTTCCTTAAGGAAACTCCTTAAGAAAGATAAACAACATCGCCTTGAAGTGAATGACCTTGTGTGGTCTGCACTCTTTGTGATTGGTGGAGTTTCATGGTTAAATGAGGGCACATTGTGTGTGAATGGTGTGACTTGATACTTTAGGTGGGAGGAAAGGAAATGGTGTTCTTGGTTTTTTGTAAGTAGTTGGTGGATAAAAAGGGGTCATAACATTAGTCATGTAGTCAAAGATAATGGGAAATCGGACAGGGGCTCTAACCTTTCACTGGCTATTCAAAACGAAAAAAAAAAAAAAAAGTTATTACCTGGGTTGGGCTTTAAGCATTGTGGAGAGGCAGCAGGGCTGAGAGCAAAGAAGGGGATTACTTGGGAGGGCAGGTACTCCCCCTACAGCCCTTCCTGTTAAAAGGTAACACAGGTGAGAGAGGAGTGGGGAAGCTGAGAGACAGACAGAAAGGTCTGTGTGTGCGTGGCTGCTCAGAAGCAAGTGGACTCTATCTTGGTGAGATCACCTAAACGCACTACGCAGTGCAATCTTATTGAAGGACTTTACCGTTTTGCTGAAGAAAGCTGTTTGTTCTGTTACCGCTGGATTAAATAAAAACTGTTTATTTATATTGGACTGTGTTGAAGACGCATGTGTACCCCTGGGGTTCCCCACAGCATGTGAGAAGCATCTAAAATATATATTTTTTAATATTCTGAGGTATTACTGTGGATTTTCACTTTAAACTAATCAAATACACAACTTTGAATAAATACCGTTCATTTACTAATTACAAAAAGAAATAAAAATGATTTTATTATAAAGAATATATTAATTATAGATTAAAGCTAAAGCAAATCAAACTAATCCCGGTGAAATTATTGTGGCTAAATTGATTGCTACTGTTTGTATACTAAAGAAAGAGCATGTTTAAAAATAGATTAGAATGATTAATTTTGCATGTTTTCCTAATTTTCTGATGGTAATTATTTAAACAATCACAAATTAATCCATACAAGTGTTTTAGGAATTTGTTAGCTCCACAATAAAAAATGAGCCTGTTGTTTAACAATGTCATTATGGGTTGCTGAGTAATGCCTTTCATTTTATTTCCAGCGGAGTGCATATATAATAACTGATTTGTTGATATGATTCCTGCTAATTACCCAACCAAAACATTCTTTTGTAAAGTCACATTACTCCTCTATGTCCTAAAATTAACCCATGAAACACCAGGGGTATTTGAAACTTTCATGACGAGTCCCAGGTTTCAGTTCTCCATATTTATTAGTATACTACAAAGTAGGGATGCACCGATACTTTTCAGATACCAGTGCCGATACTTGGCATTACCATCTACCAGGGTTGCAGCTGTTGCAGCTGGGACCTGACTCTGGCTCTCCACCACTGTCCTGAAATCATTAGTCTGTATTGTTTTAGAAAAACTGTCACATGACAATAAACATAAATGTATCAGTACTTGTATCTGTGAGAACTTGGACAAGTATCAGTACTTGTACTTGCAAAATGGTATTGGTGCATCCCTTTATTTATATTTATAAAACCAAAATCATACAGGAGCTCTGTGTGCCCCTTACAAATGACAGCTGCCTCCTAACTTTTGAATTTGTCTCTAGTCTAGTCATGGAGCTGGAAAAGTATCTGTACTTGTACTTGTACCGAGTACGGTACTTGGTATTGGTGCATGCCTACTACGAAGTGAGGGGAATTCCCCTCTTAGACAATTGTCATTGGAAAAGGTGTCCCAAGGGGAAGGTTTACCATCACTTTCTGTTGACAATTGACAATAGTCCCCAGGTCTAACAGAGATGTTGAATCTACCTAGCGGGGATACAACATCGATACAGTGGCCATTTTTCCTAAGGCAGATTACTAGATCTCCCTTTACTTCCTGGAACTCTGGCACATGTGACTAGGACATGTGACTATGCACATCATCTCAGGGGAGGAAATGCCTTTCCCTGAGATCTAATGAGATTACAGATGAGATTTCCCAGCAATGCTCTGCTGATGTAACCTTCCCAGGATGCAACACTTTGGCACATTACATCATTTGTGCCAGAAGTGGACCAGAAAGTAGATGAACTCTATTTGTAAGTATATGAAAAACAAGTTTGTAAGATGTAAGATGATGTTAAATCAACATTCAGAGATGTGATTTTAGTGAAAGGGGGTAAAGGTCCACTTTAACGTTTAAAAAGTTGACATTTCTTTCACGAAGTTGTCAAATTAGAGGTAATTACTTTTCAAGTACAATAAACCTATGAGGACATTAAGCATATTTTCTCAGCTATATTTTGATTATGAGAATATCCCATGTGTGCTTTACCTGCTGTATCTTCCCGGGCCTGGAATAAATGCTGTCTAATTTAGCTTTCAATTTGCATCATTTTCTAACACCATACTGTGTGTACTGTGGCCTAATGATGCCAGAACACACAAATCATTCCAAAAAGACATCATTAGAAAAGTAGACAACCCATGGTATTTAGCAAGAGTAGTATTGTAAAACTGGTGTTTCTTTTTTTATTTACATTTTATTGGAGGATGATGCATACATTAAAAGGAACATATTTTATTAAGCTGATCAGAATTCCAATTCCAATTTTATTTATAAAAATCAAAGCATGTATAGGTTTATTTAAAGTGAAACTAAACTCAGGAGTTAAATCTTAAAAATGCATTCACGTACCTTAACTATTAACAGAAATGTATCTTATTTGTGTATCACTCGGCTATAGATCCTCAAATCATCTCTGAATTGGTGCTGACACTGTCCTTCCTTCTGGAGGGTGGCTTCTTTTGTTCCCCATGGTCCCTGTGTGTGTAGCCACTGCTCCAAGCTTGTTCCTGTGATGGACTACATTCTCACGTTTAGCTTACAAATTGGTATTGAGATTGTAGAACATCATGGGAGTGAACTTGGAGCTGTGGCTACTTTACAACACACAGGGACCACGGGGAACAAAAGGAGTCACCCTCCAGAAGGAAGGACAGTGTCAGCACCAATTCAGAGATGATTTGAGGATCTACAGCTAAGCGATACACAAATCAGATTGATTAGAGTTTTTGGCTGTGAATGTACCTTCAGTGTGTGAGGTTGACCATGATAATTGGTTTGGCTGGGACCTAGCCATGCCAACAGGGAACACAAGGAGGGCAGAAAGCACAATTCCACTTAGATAAAGGGGTGTTTATATTAATTTCCAAGAGAAAATCAGTAATCTATCTTCTAATCAGCATTTATCATGAATCCAGTGAAAATCATCTATTCTAAACCTGGTGTATTTGTACCATATACGATTACATGCTGTCAGATGTGGCTGATGACACCCTGTCATTTACTTCAATGAGTGCAGAGGCCGCATCTGAACGTGACACCTGGAATTTTGTAGGTACTTGCCGCAGAAATTCCAGAATGCCCAGTGTAAATGGGACCTAAAAAGAAATGAAGGTGTGACATTTTAACTGAGGTCTAAGTTACCATTTGCGTTTATGTCCACTTTAGGAGAACATATAAGTGTAAAAAAAAAACAAAAACATATTCTGTTAGGACCACAAAAGAAAAAATAAAGTGGCCCCATGGGATTGTCACCTCTATCACCCATGTGTTTTTAAAAAAAAAACTAATTATATTTAAAAAGAGGGCTGCGGTTAGTGTTAGGTTCTTGTCTATCTTGGGCTGCTTTGCTGTTTTATTTTCTGTATTTCATGTCTGCTGTTGCGAGGAAGATTTCCCTCTGTTTGATGAGCAAATCTTCAAGCAGCTGAGATTTGGATTGGTAAAACAGGAAAACAGCTGGTCAATAAGTGTTATCTCTCACCTCTATAGTCCATCCTGTTACTGGGCAGTGCCAGTAGGTACCTCAGGACCGGCAGCTGGACACAGCTCTGAATTATCTTCAGCCTTTCTTTTGGATGCTTTGACCTGACCCATTTTTGAGCTGAATGATGCCCAATGACATCAAACTCTTTCCTGTGAACACATGCTATCATGAATCAATCCAGTGTGTATCCTGCTGCACTCCTGACTGTTATACATCTTGTTGTTGGGTGCTGTAATGATGGCGGATGGCGCAGCCAGATGCGATGCATATGCAAATGGTCACCAGCACACCACATCAGAGTATCAATGCTGTATCCCCAGTGGTTTAGTGTTACATTATTGTCATATTGAGCCTGATAAAGAGACCCTAGGTGGCCACGAAACTTTGCTACTTTGTTACATCATGTCCATTCGTCAATAAAGTTGAATCTTGCACATAAAAAAAGAGTGCTAATGGCCATTTGTATCTGTGCACACCCCCTGGGTCTAGCATTTTCATTCAGCCCTGGCCCACACAGTACTGTTGCATAGAACTACACTGATTAGAACTACACCGATTTATGAGTGCCACCCTGTGCGTCATTTATGCCCACCCTCCACGCTTCAATTGAGGGGAAAAAACAGCGTGACACAGAGGATACTTGGAATTAAGGTGTGTATAATTCAATTTATTTCAGTTTAGGTGTAAGGGAGGGTTGTAGAGAGCAGAAGGTAACTAGGTTTGCTTTTTTTTTAAAGCTGGAGTTGAGTATTAAAGATGTGGTGATCAACCCATTGTACAGAAGGCATTTCTACATACATGATTATTTTCGTACATATACTATATATTGCATTCAACTTTATTATAAAGCAACACAAAGTACGCTAGTTATGTATCTATGTTTTGATTGCTTCCATTGGCATTGCTGTATTTCTTACTTCTATGGGGTTTATGTTATTCCTACTGGCAAACCTAAGTGGGTTGTGAATTTATTGCATTAATTAAGTACTTAACAATCTAGTGTCATCCATAAAGGCATTTTGTCTTCTCACTGTGTAATTATGAATGATATATGAAAGAACACAATGTGTTGATTCAATAGTTTACATCATAGCAACATTACTTTGAGAGTAATATTTATTTGACACAAAAAAAGTTCACATACAAAGTAAACAGGAGCCTTACATCACTTATTTACTACTGTATAGCTAAAGAAGGCTGTGGAATATACTAGAGGACAACTCCCAATCTTCTCTATACTTTACTAATAAAAATCACATTCATTATTTTTTAAACCCCAAAACTTGTGTAAAGTAGGGATGTGACCTTATGCACTGTGTAAACTCATTCCTTAGATGTTTGTAGATGATTAGGAAGTGTCCATTGTGCCCGTTGGAAACGGTCAATGTGGGATTATGAAGTGAATCTGTACTCACTTTGGGGAGATTTCCTTTCACTTCTTGATGTGTCTACACCTACAGCTCTTGCTGGTTCCTCCTGCTGACCTCCATGTCATTACTGTATTCTTTAGGGGATGGAGGTCAGTAAGGGGAAATCAGTGAGAGCTGTAGGGGACCACGGAGATTGACATCTTTGGAAATGTCTGTTTCCCAGTGAATTTGGAGGATCATTTCTCAGGAATAGAGAGTAGTTCAGCGGTGTGGGAGACAGGAATGGTACATATTTACAGTCTTCTTCTGCAGGTATGCCTTTGTTGGGATATTTTGAAAATGAATAAAATTAGCTGTATTTAATAGATATTGAAAACATTTACCTGTTGTTGCAGGCTCCATTTATTTGCCTGTATTTAGAGGCCAGGCAATTTTTGGCACAGGTTGGTGCTTTATATTGTGGAATGCAACCGGTGATATTCACAATAATATTAAGAATATCAGGAGCCGTTCCTGAAAAATAAAAAAGGCATTATTTGTAAACTATGTTTCTATTTAAATTCTCATTTTTCATTGAATTTTATTTAAGGCCCACCTTCAGCCAAAAGAATTAAGATGTTTGGAAAGAGTGAAGAAATTATAAGAACTGCTGTTGATTTTTTATTGGTGTCTTTTTTTTTTTCTGTCCACACTGGAGATATATTTTTTATCCCCTCTTGGTCCTCTGACCCCCTTGTCACCAAAACATGAGGAAAGAGGGATCTCTTCAATGGGGAGAAATAAAAAACACCCAATTCTGAACACACACACACCGCTCCCCAACCAATGCTGCCCCCATCCTTTCCCTGAAGGTCCTCAGCATGTTGTGTATGGATTTTTTTAGTACTTTCTTTTCCTGAAGCCTTTTAGCTGTTCATGGTGAGGGTCCTTTTTGCCACTTCTCTGTAGTGGGTGGTCCTTAATGATGCAGAGAACATCACTGACATGACTATTGCCACTCTCTGGACCAGTACATTGTGAATGAAAGGCACAGTGCTGATGCCCCTTTCAGGAGCATAGTCCATGACACTCTACATGCCCAATAAAGTACTCAGTCCCACTATTAAAGCCACTAGAGATCATGGAGTAATTATTATTTTCTCAGGTGACAGTGAGGTGATAAGAATGTTGTACACAACCTCATTAGCGTTTTTTTTGTAATTGGGCGGGTAGAATCCCTCCCCTTGTGACAGTGAGCTTTGATAATCTGTCACTTCAGTGATTCTGCAGAATAGACTTTATTATTCAATTTGTTAGGGAAATACTTGTGTCACTAGACAAATCTTGCACAGAGTGAAAAGGTCAATGCAAGAACCAAGCACATTAGTGTTAGACACCATTACCTTTGAGACCTTTGTATGTGACCATTGCAAGTGACCACTTTTAAAATAATGACATACTATTAAGAAGCAGTAGATACACTTTAAAATACCCCATCACTGACCTCTGCAGCTGCTTGTACTGTGGAGTAATTCACCCTCAGTAGTGCAGTGGAGGAGTTCCATTTTACTTGGCCTGGGACCCGACCAAGTGACCTTGCAGCCCCCCAGCCTTCTAATCTATAATGTGAACACAGAGCAAATGTACAGTAAGAGGGGGGAAAAGACCCAACGGTGAAGACTTGACTGATTCTATTGTGATTTAGAGGATGAATCGTTCCACAGTGCCTTTGCCATAGCTCATATGGAGAGTTAAAAAATACAATTATAAAGCAGTACAGAGGAAAGGAGCACTGCACTAAACTGCACTAGGAAAACATTTGTCAGTGTATGACTTTCTTCTGTTTCATGAGACTACTTGTCTGGAAAATCTGCATCTAAATGTATAATATTTCACATTTTCTACTGTATGTGCTTGTACTAGCTGTCCTGATTTAAGAAATGCTACCCATTCTGTATACTTCAGGGGCCATTAAGTAATTTTTTAATATGTTCCATGTTTAGTAGTGAAACCAAATATTGTCAGTTCACAATAAACAAATAAATGTTATTTCATTACATATGAAGTGAATATTCTTTACAAAGCAAAATCCATTAAAGTGTAATAAAAAAGAAACTTTATGCAATTTCATCCACTGAATGAACTTATTTAAAATTGGTGCCTTTTCAGCCTGGCATTTGCATGAAAATATAGCTGAGTCATATATCTATTAATATATATTAAGTCTTTATGATCTAATATTATTAGATGTCTTTACACATATTGCCAAGGTAGAAAATGTGTATACTGAAAATGTGCCTATTCATATGAATATTCAAATATTACTTTTAAATGTTTTTTTTTCTTATGGTTATACACAAATAAGGAACATAATTACCAACTGGGTGTGAAGAAGGTTTGTAGGCTCCATTCATTATAGCTTGCATCATGTGCTTTCTGTTCTCCTCATTTTTGAAAATCGTTTTGTTTTCTGGTTTGGTTGAAGATAGGTCATCAGTATCTAAACTTCTAAAAAGGAAAGCAACATTAACGATCAAAACCTTTGCCATGATCATACTGATTTTTTTGAAAGGATTAAAAATGCATGCTCAGTGGAGCTGGTTAGACATCCATTTAACTATTTTATGCACATGAAAGTATTTGCCATCTTTGGTGGCAGAGTAGGGACTTAACAGAAATGGATAAATGTGACCAACAAAGGGCAAACAAGAATCCCTGTTTTAATTCACAATTATCAAAAGTGTGCATTGAAAGCTGAACTCTAGGCTCACATAAAAGACAAAAATGAACACAGCACTGTGATCATTATAGTGTATTGTATGTCAAGCTGAAAAACTGTTTCTTGTTTTGCATAGAGTGGGTAAGGATTAAAAATATCATCAGGTTTTTACTGCTCTCTGGGGCTCTGCTAGGGAGATTTTTTCCCCTCACTTTCTGCCCTGCTGAGAATGGTTTCACTTGATTATACAATGCACACAAAAAACTGGGGTTTTCACGGTAGCCCAGTGAAAGGATAACTAAACAGATATGAAAACCAACCTTTTATTTTGTAATTTAAAAACACAACTTATCAGGATCCAGATATGAACTCAGGGCCTTTGCTGTAGCTGGCAGTGGATTTTCCTGCTGAGCCACCTGGAACCTTGGTTAGTCACTGGATCTATTGTGCAATCCTTAGTGAAACCCAGTTTTCTGCTAAACTCTCAACTCCTTACTCCTCCCATGAACCTTCCAAATCTATTTTCTTTTTATGAGAAGGGAGCAATAGATTGGACAGAGGAATGGCTGTGGATATAATATACTTGGAGTTTGCAAAAGCGTTTGACACAGTTCCCCACATGCGGCTAATGTATAAGTTAAGGTGAGTAGGTATGGAGTATTCACTCTGTAGTTGGATATAAAACTGACTTAAAGACCGTATTCAGAGAGTGGTGATCAATGATTCATACTCTGAATGGTCTGAGGCTGTTAGTGGTGTGCCCCAGGGTTCAGTGTTGGGCCCCTTACTGTTTAATCTATGTATAAATTACATATAATTGGGGATTATAAGTACAATTTCTGAGTTTGCAGATGGCACCAAGTTATGTATTGGAATGCAGTCCTTACAGGATGCCTCCAACCTACAAACAGATCTGAATGCACTGTGTGATTGGGCATCTATTTGGCAAATGAGGTTTAATGTTGATAAATGTAAAGTTCAGCACTTGGGGACTAAACATGCATGCGTCATACACTCTAGGGCAGGGGTGGCTAACTGCGGCCCTCCAGCTGTTGTGGAACTACAAGTCCCTTGAGGCTTTGCAAGATTCTCACAGCCACGGGCACGACTCGCAGAGGCAGATGCATCATGGGATTTGTAGTTTCACCACAGCTGGAGGGCCAGAGTTTGCCACCCCTGCTCTAGGGGGAGTATGTTTGGGGAGTCAATGATGGAGAAACATCTGGGTGTACTGGTAGACCATAGACTGAATAATAGCATGCAATGCCAAGCCGCAGTTTCTAAAGCAAGCAAAATATTTTCTTGTATTATACGGGGTCTATAGACTCCAGAGATAGATACATAATCCTGCCCCTGTACAAAGCATTAGTAAGACCTCATCTGGAATATGCAGTTCAGTTTTGGACACCAGTTCACAAAAAGTATGTTGTGGAACTGGAAAAAGTGCAGCGAAGGGCAACTAAACTCATAAGAGACAGGGAGGAGGTCAGCCCTGAGGAAAGATTAACTGACCTGAATTTGTTCTCTCTGAACAAATTGAACTATGCTTAATAGGAGTTTATTTTGCCTTCGTCTGGATCAACAGTGGGTACTTGTGGGCATAGAGTTCTGTTTTAGGTTTTTCTTTCTTTTTTTTTCCTCATCTCTATAGGTTGAACTCGATGGACTTGTGTCTTTTTCCAACCTGACTAACTATGTATCTATGTAGCTAGTTAAGCCATGCCTCTGCACTTCCTGTTTACCAGATTATTGTCAAGTTATTGTGCTCCTGCCAATATCTTTCTGCCTGCTGCTTCTGTGATACTACTTCCTCATACTGCTATTCGTATACCGATCCTTGGCTGCTGATTCATCGACTAAGCTTATTGCCTTCCCCTTCAAACCTGATTCCTTTTCCTACTGACCTCAGCTTGATCCCTGATTATGCTTATGCCTGCTCCTATACTCCTACACTACTACCATCTACTACCCGGCCTGTTATACCACAAATTTGCCTGCTGTTTCAGCTATGGAACTCCAGGTCTGATCCCAGATCATGACACAACTACTAAATGCATGAGAAAGTTGATAGTGTTTTTATAGTCTGATTCCATGCCAAGAATAGTGAGGTGGATAGTAATTCACTAGATATGGTGTGCCTGGCTTGTTTTATATGTTTCTGGCTCTAAGGCTTGGACAGCAGCAAACCTGTCCCTTTTACAGCAAGGGACAGCCAGTCCAGACGAGCAGCTGTTTTGTGCATCCGTTATCCCTGATGGTTTTCTCAATTTGACTGCATGCCCTTTCAATGCAATTGCACAGTTTTAAGGTAATGTTATGCTCTATTTCTGACTACGCATTATGCCTGGTTACCTTTCTGTTTGATTTGAATCATGTCTGTTTCAGTGCAAGACTATTTAGATTTGAATTCTGGCAGGAGTATGACATCATTGTGACGTCACACAGAAAATGTGACCCCTGGGATTGCTCTGGTTTCACGTTCTGTTCTGTGTATATATATATATATATGTGTGTTTGTGTGTTCACCTGCACTTTCATCACATGTTCTGCCTGAGGAAAGGTATCCTGCGAGACCCCGAAACATTGCACCAAGTGTAATATTCGGGAGCCCAAACTTTTACCTGGGCTGATTTTATATGTTTCTGATGCATTTTACTGGTACTAGTTTCCTCAGGAGAGAGGTGCTCACACAAAAACTCATGAATATGAACATATAAACAGCATCAGAAATCCATGCACCACAATACACTATTTTAAACACAAGGATCACATATAGAGGCAAAAGAAATCTCACCGCTCCATTCCTTAGCAGCCATCAAGACTCCGCAGGTGCTGGTCTAATAGTTGCGTCTCCACCTTGGAATGTAGTAGTATATGAACAGACCACACTATCCAGAGAATTCCAATACTTCAGACTTTATTGAAATTCACAGCATATCCAGTATAACAGTGTATGTAACAGCAAATACCAGCAGCACAACCAGCTAAACCAGCTAAAACCTCTCACATGTTTCACCCATAGGCTTATTAATAGAGGTAAGAGAGACCTCTATGAATACGCCTATGGGTGAAACATGTGAGTGGTTGTAGCTGGTTGGGGGGTTTGCACTGCTCAGGGCAGGATTTTGCAATGTGGGGAGAGTGAGTTAAAAAACAAATAAAAATAAAAAACACCACATACACATGCTCAGGGTTGCCATCAGAAAATTTGGGGCCACTTACACAGCTTTGAGCCTAAACTTAGTAACGTGCTGGACTCTGGACTTAGTAACGCGCTGGACTCTGGACTTACAAAACAGAAAAATGGTCACTCATCACTTTTGTTTGCCTGGTGAAGGGACCGGACAGGTTCCGAACCGTTGCCATGCATGGTGATATGACCTGTGACAATGAATAAAAGGTTTTTGTTTTGAAGAAAACCTGGAGTGCTGGTGACCATTTTTCTGTTTTGCAAGTATTTGGCGGCACCATCTGCGGCCACTTCAACACCCCCCCCCCCCCCCCACATTGTATTAGGCTTCTCGGTCAGGAGTGCGGTGGGACTCACTATTTGACGGACTCTGGACTTAGTAAGGCACTGGACTCTGGACTTTGTAACACGCTGGACTTAGTAACACACTGGACTCTGGACCCACCTGGGACCCTGCAGACCCCACCAGAGAGTGACCCTGCAGAGCACACAATAGATTGTGCACAGCCCATCTGAGACTCTCTATGGTGAGCTCTGCAGGGTCTTAGGTGGGCTGGTTGGGGCCCCTTTCCCTGCACTTCCTCCCAGCAACTCTTACCTGCCGCTGCTGGGGCCCGGCCTCCTCCGCCTCCTCCCCTGTAACCTCTGCCATGCCACCCCTTGTACGGCCACTACACATGTGAGGGACGTGGGCTGCCTGGGGGGCCCGGGCCCCTCACATGTGTATCGCCATACCCCCCATGATGGCAGCCCTTCACATGCTGCAGGAGTAGGCAGAGTGGGGAGAGAGTTTAAAAAAAACATACATACACGTGCTGCAGCTTCTGATCAGGAGGCAGAGTGGTGAGAGATTTAAATAAAAATACACACAATGCAGCTTCTGATCGAGAGGAGGCAGAGTTAACTTGCCTATACAGTCCACAGATGAGTCACTCCACCGAGGGTACATTTTACAGATGGCTGTCAGACGGCAGGTAAAGCCACAGTGCAGGATGAGCGACTCAGGCACACTACAGAATGTCACCCAACTTCATACAGTACAGCCACACTACCTCCAAAGTCCCACGCATGCAGCATATACAGACAGCAGAGAGAACCTAGGGGCGGGGCTGATCTTACAGCGCCAGAGCCCTGTCCATACTGCAGCCGCTCACTGCTAAAAAAAATTACGCCCTCACCTGCTGGGTGCCCTCAGGCAGCCACTTGTGCTGCCTTACAGTAACATCGGGCCTGGCACTGCTTGGTATTTGCTGTTACACGCACTGTTATACTGGATTTACTGTGTATTTCCATAAAGTCTGAAGTATTGGAATTATTTGGATAGTGCAGTCTGTTCATATACTACTACAAGGATCACATAGTCTTAATTTAGCTTCTTATAATGTGCTTACACCATGAAGCACTTCCTGTCTGGAAAAATATCAACAGGATAGGAAGTGAGGAGAAATGTCGCTAAAGGAGCCCCACATAGCAGTACAAATCTGGTTGTTGTTCTAACTCTTCCCCATTCCATCCAAAACTAAGAAAAAAAATTTGCCTTTACATATATGTATTTTTTTAAATGCAACTAGTGCAAGTACCTGAATTTGACCTACTATCAAAGCTCTGCCGTGCAGGGACATCAAGAGGCTGAGTGTAGT